TATTGCGAATCAAAGCAAACTACGCATTATATCTAACCTAAAGAGTTTCTTTAATTGCGATAAAATCAGATAAGATCATTAAAATTTTTTCAGATATAGTTGATTGATAGTTTGAGATTAAATCTCACTTGCAATCAAAATAAACTTTATAATTTCTGCTGTAAAGCAGCTGTTAGATTGAAAGTGTTAAGACTTTACTGATATGATAACATTTGCAAAATATTAGGGTGCGTTATGTTCATCTATAATCCATTACCGGTTCATTTCACTAACGCTAAATATCATCGACGTTTCGGCTTACACGTTCAGGTTTACGTTTTTGCTTTAATTTAGTGTTTAATTTATTGTTAAAATTTTTTTTAAATCAATAATTAAAATTATAGAGGATGACAAGAATTTATTCCTTGTTGAAATTTGCAGAACAAAATCACAGTAGATGATATCTACTTATGATGAATAAGTGATCAGTCTTGAAAACATAAGTTGACCACTCAATTAAAGATCGTTTTTGCCAATTAATTGAATACAAGTTAATTAATTGGCTAGAAAAGATATGTACGCATTTCAGCCAGTAATAAATGAAATATTCAAAAAATACAAATAAATTGTACATCTCCCAGAGTGTAGTATTTTTGTACAAAAGTTTCAGACACTACTATTATTTCACGTGCCTATTACTTTGTTAATCGCTATAGCAATTATTTCATTCACTATCGTTTTACTTATTTATCCAAATATTCATCATAAAATGCGTCTGTATCAGCAACTTTTTCACGTACGTTTATTAAGTAAATCATTCATTCTATTAATTTTTAAGTTAAGTCAAATAGTTTTCAGATCAATCTAAAATGTATCTAATTTTTAAACTGATCTGAAATATATCTATTAATACTGGTACTAATCCGAAGTGTAATTTAAGTTTTCCAGCACTTTGCACGAATAAAATCGCATTATTATTTTTACCTTTATCGAATGGCTATAATTATTTGGATAATTGTTCACTTTGTTCATATCATAACCGTCGGTTCAACGATTTTAGCCCTACAAGTACATGAAAACATTTTAACACTAATAAGTATTTAATTATTATAGGAATAACTGCAATTAAGTAAAAGATTTGATTTCGATTAATTTCTTTTTAATTAAAAAATTATTAGTATTTTCATTTTTGCCATATCCATCACTTTGATATTAATTTATTTACTACAAATCAGTGGCTCAAAAATGGAAATAATGACTTTAACGAGAGTACCTGTAAGGCTGATATTTTAGATCAGAAGTAATCAATTCTGAACTATAGAATCATTCTCGATAACTTTGTTGTACGTGCAACTAATTCCTGTATAAAATCAAATTTTGTAATTATAGTGATTCATTTATTACTGTAGTTAATATTTGAACTAATGATTTATCAGATCAAAAATTTGTGCGAATCAGCCTTCATCAACAATCCGCCTATATTCTAGAACAAAAAAATGGATTTATACCATTGCTACGTAATAATATTATGTTTTACATAGTAATACGGTATGGTATTAGCTAGAAATTCCTAAAACAAATTATAATATAGAATGAAATCGACAATGGTTAAGGCCTTTACTGTAATTATGCTATATTTATCATTGTAACTGTACCGTTTTTCAGTTGGTTCGACCGAAATTGCTCTATCCTCAACTTTCTATGCTGATTTTTTTGGTTGGATTTTATACATTTCTTCTATCCGTCATAATTACATTCAACTTCATCGGATCTGATATTATGTGGATTGAGTTATTGGTTGTTTCCATTTTACAGTTTTTTACAATGCAAGTTTTTGTAAATTTGCAAAAATTTTTATGAACGAGTGAATCATCAAGCAAATTAAGATGGATGCACGTGAGATTCTAAATTAAACTTTATCAGTTTTCAAAATTCAAAAAAGTATTTTTGGCAGTAATATATTGTTACATTATATACTATAATATATATGTATATATATTATTAAGTTTATACTAGCATGACATAAGCATAATATTTAATATTTATAATGAATATATGTATTAATTAATACAAAAATTTTATAAAGAATATAAGTAAAACGTTTGCGTGTTTTACGTGTTTATACTCATTATATTGCAAATTCAGCTTCATTTTAAAATTTGCAACAAAATTATTACAGAACAAATCTTTATGTCGTTGTTTTGGAGCACCGATACGTGGTCGACCGACGAGAAGCACTGGAAAGGATACTGAAAAACGCTAAAACAGTACGCTTCAAAGAGAATCAATCGGTCGTTAAGCAAAATGAAGGGAACTGATTGCTATTAACTTTTATCACTTTTTTATCAACTGATTATCAATCCTGAGAGCACAACTTACATATTGTACATGCACATTTTAAGCACAATTTTTGTATGTATGTTTCTAATTGATCGATGACTTC